TAAAGTTATATTATTGATCCTGATATAGGTTACATGTTACAAATCTATAATTTTATTATTAATTTAAAAAATTTGTTCTAAAAAATTAAAATGGCCTCAATTAGTTCTTTCTTCATTTCTAACTTAAATAATTTATTGAACACAATTAATGAGCAGTTATTTATTGTGAAATTGTCACAATGCCAGGCTGCAATTTTTAATTTAATTTAATTTAATTTAAAATATATGCTCTCCACCTCTATAATTAGTAGTGGCTTNTCATTTCTAACTTAAATAATTTATTGAACACAATTAATGAGCAGTTATTTATTGTGAAATTGTCACAATGCCAGGCTGCAATTTTTAATCATATTTTTAATTTATTTAATTTAAAATATATGCTCTCCACCTCAAATTAGTAGCAGCTTGCTCCTGTACATCACATTTTTTCTTTAACAATAGAATCATGCCAGTCATCTATCTAATGCTTTTCAGGGGAAATTTTTGAATTGAAGTAACATAACTTCCAGTTTCCATTGGAAGTTCGTATATACTTAATCAAAGCCTCCTGCCCCTAATGTTTCCATATCTGGTCTTCGTTTTTCATCTATCTAACTCTGTTTTTGATATTAAGGAATTTGGTCTACAATTTTTTCGAATTTCAGCCCAATAATGAAAGTACTGTCAGGATCATAAAGAAAATCGTGTAATTCTGTTATAGTACTTACTAAACTCAATAAATTTAGAATACAGTATCTGTATTAAACCTTAAATTCAAATTGTTTATTTTAGAGCAATTTTGTAGTACATGTGTTCAAAAAAAGACGCAAGAAGTACTTGTTGAGAAAAAATGAAAAGAAAAAACATGAAAACATTTGATGGGGAGTTGAAATCAATCTTTTGAAGGGAAAAGTTATGTTTCACTTTAAGGGAATTTATTCATTGAATTTGGAGACAAAATAAGGATTGACGAAATCCTGATAAAACTCCTAAAGCACTATGAAGAGAAGATTGAACCTAAACAAGAAAAGGGGATTTAGTTTTGTTTGTAATGTCTTGTTTTGCCATTAATTAATTAAAATTTGAATTCATATAAATTTAAGGTCTTTAATTAAAAGAACAGTGTGAACTATGAACCATTGGGAGTCAAAATGAAGACTGAGGAAAGAGTGCTTTGATCTGTTACTTATGCTAATTTCAATAGGTGCTATTGTGAGACCTGAAAGGCCCCTGGGTCTAAGACAGTAATTTTATTAATAATGTTAAAATATTGTCACCAAATATTACTTCGTTTGGGTGAGAAAAATGACGTTTTAGAGTGGGAAAAATAGATAACAGATGTTACTTCCTTTCACAGAAGTTAGTGCATCCTCTGTTTTTCCCTTATCTGCAAAAACTCTCGCTTTGATGGGAATGTTTACCCCTCACATATCCCTCTTTTCATCCGTTCTCACGGAGGAATCTTGCATGATGATTGGTCGCCGATTGTGACATATAGAGGAAATTTGTCAGAATTCGGGGAGTTCAGCGACAGATCTGAAAGTGTCCAAGCTCCACACATTTTCCTCCTGATGACCAACGCCCTTAGACGAGTCACATAGAAGAATTCCAGAGTTAGCACTTAGAAATTATACTTTGATTTTGTGCACATATTGATCTCCCAAGGAAAGAAGTAAATGAATTTTATCTCCGAAGCGTCCCTTGCCTACAGAGAAGAAGGCAAACGACAACTAGAACAGGTTGTATGTTTTATAACGATTTTGTGAGCTCTCTCTCTCGATCGCGAAGTGGGTATAGTATAAGTCTTTGCCTATATCGTGTATCTTAATTGTCGCATTTATATCCCTCGTTCCTTGATATCTGTAATAGTTTTACTTATATAGAATTATTAAATTTACTCTTGTTTGTTTTATATAAGATATGTCTTTTAAATTGTCTCTGAATCAGATCTGTAAAGCAATCTCATACGCGTGTTTGTCCGCGGAATTAAATTGACAAACTGGTGTCGGGACCCTGACATTTGGGATAAAGACCTCACAGTCTTGAATCCCCCTTTTACCTAAATATTACAGCCCTCCCGGTCAAACGAATCTTGACATAGGATCGGATCTCTCGATCCGAAACTCAGAGAACAGATTTCGGATAATCTGTGCCGATTAAGTGGTACGAACAATCCCTAGCGGAATAGAGTACCCCCGGCTACTCGCACACTATGCAGCAATGCCATTACAGCAAAATCAGTCTCATAAAAAATTTCTAGATATTTTGGTCTTGTCTCTATCATTTTAGCTTTGAAAAAATTGATCATTTTTTAATTTCTTTTAGAGCATGGCAAAAAATCCAATAATGGTAAAATTTAAAGGTTGGACACTTGGAGGAGTTCTGCCAACTCTAACTCTGCTTAACTCCAACACCATAACCTCTTATAAGTTAAAAATTTTAGTCTTGGTTACTACTATTTAGTATTGCAGTGGAGTCTTATTTATCTAGGAAAATGTAGATCAGCATTTATACTTTGTATCACTGACATTTGTGTAAATATGTATGTGTGTGTATATATATATATATACACACACACATACATATTTACATATACATATATATACATATATATATATTTTTTTTCCCCCTTTTCTTTTTTAGACTTCATCGCTAAGGGTAAATGCAATGTTGTTAACTTGGTACTTGAACTTAATTGTGTCCAGAAGGTTGTTCGAATGACAATCTGCTTGGATACTGAATGAATTTTTTCCATAAGGAATAATGTAAATTTTATTAATCCATTCCAGATCCAAAAAATACACTTATAAAAGCATTTTAACTAGAATTTGACACAAATTTAACAGGATGTTTACAAGTCTAGCATGCATAAATCATTAAAAAAAACCAAAAATGCAAAGAAATAAAAAAGTATATGGTGAAATTTAGCAGAGTTGTACACTGCTGTTTCAGCCTGAAATACTCAAATGCCACACAGAATGGCAAAATATACCTATTAATTTTATTGGGTCAAAAGGAAAGTTTTATGTGTTTTTAACAGTTGTTGTTACTTAACATAGATGTGTGATTTAATTACAACAGTTGTGAAATTTAACATATTACTGCTAACATGAGATCATAAAATTCTTTCTTTAGAAGCTTATTTCAAACTTTTTATTTCACATTTTGTTTGAATAAAATAGTCAAAATGTCTTCAGATAAAAAGCACATCAGGCATACTATACTTTGAGTTTTGGAAATGAAATAATGTTATACAAACAGTAAAAAAAAATTTGTAATGTGTATGAGCACTATGCTGCTAAACTTCAAACATTTCAATTAGGGTTTTAAACATTCCATTTAAGAAATTTTGAACTAAAAATACACAATGTACAGGATGTTCAAAAGCTGTGGACAAAGATGAATTACAGGAAGAAGTTAAAAATTGATGAATAACAGGTTGTGAACTTGCAACAAATCTTAACATGTCCCTGACATGTATGGTTGAAATTAGTGTTACCACCCATCCGGTTTTCACCAGGACAGTCCAGGAATTGACTCACTGTCCGGGTGAAGTATCAATTTTGTCCGGGAATTTCGTAGAAATTGTGAAATTATGATGAAACAAAGTTCTTCCAAATATTTTTATAAATTTATACTATCTTAACAATGAAAGAACTCACTCTAACTGAAACTCATCTGCAATTCTGCCATCTCAGAGTCTGTTTATGTCGACGTGTGGTGCGCAACCCCTGATGACCTTTTTTTTTCTGCTTGTACGATCGTGCACGTCTTAAATAGAGCTAAGTTATCTGTACCCATTCTTTCTTAATTTAGGTTACGTTACTCCTATGCAAGTCCCTAACTGTAACTGATTTAGAACTGGCATGCACGTTATTCTTCACATTGTAAAATGACATTGCGCATGCATCAGGAACTTCTGTTCGAACAAACCTGATGTGCTGTTCGGGTCACCGATTTTCAAAAGGTGGCAACACTAGTTGAAATGCTTCATGAACTTAGAATGGCTGCAAAATATAATGATTAGAATTTGCATGTTAGTGAGAAAAATAAATTGGATCAAGTTATAGTTTCTTGTAAGTAATTTGTTACTAGAGGTACTGTACACTTTAGGCACCTCTAGTAACAAATTACTTATTTAATTTAATAATTAGATTTTTAATTATTAAATTTGTGTGTAATAATATCAATTAAAATGTGGATTGGTGTGCAAAAAAATGAGAGAAGAGGTGAGGGAAAATCAGTCTGTATTTGTTATTTTCTGTTGCTTCTTTTCATGTTTGTTCAGTAAAGTGTTCGTTATCCAAACATAAAAATCTTTTGCAAAAGTGTTTGTTATCCGATTTATTCACTATCCAAACTGTTCATTAACTGATCACCCACTGTATATGATTAAAATGACCCTTTTATGGCTTATAGTCAAAAAATGAGAACAAAAACACCCACAGGTTATTTACCAGAAATTATGGCATTGAATAATACATGTATTTTAATTCTGTATTATAATGAAAATATTATATATTGATTATGCTTACAATATCTCTGCTATTTACTATTAGTTTTATTATTCTTAAACTTTATTTCATTTTGTTCAAATTTCTTGCTTTAAGTGTATGACAAAATTAAATTTGATTAAAATTTATCTTCCTGTTTAACAATTTAAATCTACATTATAATTTTCATAATACATATTAATAATAATTCCAATAAAAATAATACATAATTATAATTGCTAATTATCTATTATTTTCTATCTAGTTAATATAGTTATACGTCAGTGATTCTTAAATAGAAAACTACTTTACATACTAATAAAATTTTGTAGACTAATTGTTGCAAAGTTAGAATTTTGGATTTATTTTATAAAAGATTTTTTTTTTTACATTTAATTAACTTCATCAAATTTATAATTGTCTTAATTTTTTGTAACAGAGATATGATATTTGAATTTTAATTACTGAAATGCAAAATATGTCATAATAAAAATATATTTGTTTAATTAAAATTTTTTAATTTTATAGGAAAAGAATCTATTGGATATAGTATTATATGAAATCAAAAAATGTACCAAAATGAAAACAGAAAATGTGCAACGACAAAACCTAATTGAATTAAAGAAAGAAAGATGTCTAGAAATTAAAAGAACACAAGTTGAACCAATAATTGAAAAATCTTCAAAGAAAGAATCTCAAACAGCTCGCAAATCTACAAATCCAACCAAATTAATACGAAGTCAGGAAATCAAAATTGGTAGTCCGCATTGCAGCAAAGAGGAAGAACAAGGATCGTCAGCATACTTTGATACTTTAGAACCCCCTCAGATTTCAATGTCAGTTCCAGCTGAAAATGAAAAATTAGATGAAGAACAAAATATTTCAGAGGAATTGCCTGTACTTGAGAAAGAAGAAACTAGTTGTGATAATGTTGAAAATGAAGATAAAGATATTGAGAAAGTATGGGAAAACATTAGAAAAGATTTAACATTCTCTGAAGAAGAAAATAATAATGAAATAAAAGAAAATGATGACAATGAATTTTTAAATGCATCACCAGAAGAAAAAATTGCAGGTCCAGAAGAAGAAGAACCATCTGATTGGGAAGATCATGAACCTTCAGATGGTGAAATAGAAAATGAAAAACAACAAACAGCAAATGAAACTGTTGAAAGTGGTGAATGTGTGTTGATATTATCTGATGAAGAAATTGAGGAAACAATTCAGCCATTAAAAGTCAAAGAATTAGATAATCAATCTGTTGAAGTCAACAATGAAAATTTAGCAAATACTTCTAAACAAGATGATGATGAACTTGAAACTGTAATGATACCAGATGATAAATCAAATATTGAAGTTGAAGAAAGTTTAAATTCAACAGGTTAGTTTTTTAATTTTTTTCTTTCAAGGTAACAAAATATTTTCTAGATAATGAATATTGAATTATTTATTATTACAGTTGAACCTGTCTATCTCAAATCTTACACTGTAATGGGGAAAATATTTGAGACAGACAGGTTTCTACACAGTAAACAGTAATAGGTTTGATTGGAGGTATGGTATTTTATTAATATAATAGCAAGTATAGTACATACCTATATTAGGTTTAAATAAAACATTTTTGACATGTACCTTAACAAAAATAGTTTGTCAATACAGTCGACCCCCCCCTATAACGCGGGTTCATATATTGCGGTGAAAAAATTGCAACTGTATTCGTATAAAGACACTAAAAGGGACTCGTAAAATGCAGTAAAACGTCATCGCCAACTTGTGTTGCAACAGGATTGGTCAAATCTGGACCAATAGTGGACGAGCAGCTGAACTACTTACATGCTACAGAGAGTTTAGGCGGGTAAGTTGAGTTTACTATCGTCTGTACAGTATATAAATTAGGTACTGTAAGTCTAATACAGTACTGTAATTTTATACATTTCTTGTGAAAAAAACATTTCTTATTCAACGGCCATAAAAATTATTTCTATTAATGATGTCTCCAAAGTTCAGAGAATTTTTCGCAGAAAAATAACTTATCAGAAAACTTTCGTCATTGCTTAAGCATGTTTTCGTCATGGAGCGCCGCTCCATGACAAAAACAAGCATAAGCAATGGTGTCGTTGAATGGTGCACACTCGGTAAGCAATCCTACAATTTTTTGTTTATAGCATAGTTTATACGGATTATTCCCAAAAAATTGTGTGTTTTGGAAATGTTGAGTCAAATTAGTCTAGAATTGATTAATTTTATGGAAGAAAACCTTTCAAACAGCCATAGTCCATAAACTGCACACGTGCTAGGCTATGATTTGCTCGTGTATTTAAGGATTCCTACAACGTGAAATTCTTATAAAGTGGAACATATCTACTGCGTTATAGGGGGTCGACTGTACTTTCCTTACTTTCTTCAACCAATAAGCTGTAAGTCAAACTTGTAGCTGATTGATTGAATAGCATTAATTACAATTATATACTGTTCTACCAGACCCCTCCACACGTTGTTGTGGCTCAAAACGTATCTATTATAAACGTATAACACTTTCCTCGTGGGGGAATTTTTTGAAAACCTTCTTAGTGTACGTTCTCTTGACTATTATCCTATTAAAACACAAAAAACCGCATCTAAAATAGTATAGAAGCCAAGTTCTTCACGGTAAGCCTTAATCTTGTCCCTCTTCCTCGCGGAGGAATATCAAAAAATCCCTTTTTAGTGTATATTCTGTTGACGTACCCTATTAAAATACAATCAAAAACACAAAAACCCGCATCTAAAATAGTATAAATAGAAGCAGAGTTCTTTATGGTAAGCCTTAATTTTGTCCATCTCCCCCATGGAGGGAATTTTGACATGTGTATTATATAAAAACATGTGCATATTCAAATGCAGTGTTGTGTGAAAATTTCAAAGGAATGGGTAGGAACAAATGAACATTACATTTTTATTTATATAGATAGATAGAAGATGATCTGCTTTAGTTTGTCCTCACAGAAAAGCAAACTTAGGTTGTCATACTCATAGTGCCATCTATTGGACATAAAATCCTTAACCCTAGATGATATCTTTTAATTTATATGAATGTTTAACGGAATAATATACAGCTTATGTCCACCCTGAAGTTCCATTGTAAATTTTGGTGAAAGAATTTTTGAAATCAGATGAGTAGTTTCGGAGATTAGCCCTTGCATACAAACTTACAAACATTACCTCTTTATAATATTTGTATAGATTGAAAGAGATATTTCTCAAGTACAATTTAGGTTATCAAAATGTAGTCTCTCAGCTTTGAATTTGTAATTTCCACTTACCACATGAGTCCATAATTTAGGATATAGAAGTTTTGGGAGATAATTGCAGGGCCCTTAGTTTTGAGTTTTTCATGTTACAACTCCCAACGTGTTGAAGATGTCGCATGGTACCATCTCACACTCTGGCGTCAAATTGGTAGTCTCGAGGTATAACTCATGCGTTTTTCCATCTCACCATGTGAGTTCCTACTCACTTTGAGTCGAGCATGTGAGATCTCTACACGAAAGTGAAAATGACTGACAGGTATGCTATTCTGATCACAATCGAAGCATTAGAAAGAACTGAAAAACATTTAAAAAGAAAACGAATATTTCGACCACAAGTAGATGCCATTTGTTTTCATGTCAAGTCAACAACACTAATAAAAAAATTTAATTCATAATTGATAAAATTATACAGCAAATTTTTCCAAAAATGAAAACAAGTATGTAATTCATCGAAAAAGAGAATTAAAATGATAGTAAATTATATGTATAAATTATTAAGAGCATAGACATTATATTAAGATTATTTATTAATCAGAAGTGTTAAGTTCTGTTAATAAATAATCTTAATAGACAAAACAATTTAAGAAATATATCAAGGAAGAAAACTATATAAGAAAGGATTAAATTAAAATACTCCATTACACAATGGATTTTTTAGCTCCAACACACGCAATTAATTTTTCAACTAATTCTCTCCACAAATCAAATTGTCTTTTCCTTGTAAACTTGTTGTCGAATTTTCCACTGTTCATTTCCTTATTATTTTCTATATATGTTACTAATATTTCTTTTTGTTCTTTTCATTTATTTTTTAAAATAATACATTGAGGGTTCCATTTTGTTTCTGCATACTATATTTCTATAGGACAAGCTTTTAACTGTAACATGTGTAAACTAATTCATGTTGATTTGTTTACAACTTGTTACACTCAAGTTGATTGGTTGAATCATTATAGTCACAAATCCAGATGCATTGTAAATAATCCCATCATGCTTAATGACATATGTAACCAAGTGAGTATGACATTTCTGTTTGCCTTTCAAGTTCACTTGAAGGGTCTAACTCGAGACTATCAATTTTGTGAGTCATAGTAACATGAGTGAGTTCGATGATGTCAATTCGAGTACAACACGAAAAACTCGAGACTAAGGGCCCAGGTGTCTCTTGTACAACGTGGTTTGAAAATTGGGGATATCCCAATTTTCTAACTGCTTTCAGTTTTTAGCCTTTAAGACTGTCACTTGTGTGTTTGTGTTTTTTTTTTAAATAGCTTAATTAATTTTCATATTTAATGATGTTTATTTAATGGTTTCCAGTTTTGCTGTAACACAGTTTGAGAATTTGGAAAATCCTTTGTACAAAATTTCATAACTTTTAAGTGCAAACTCCTTTATTCTATATTTTTTTAATCAAGTAAGCATGCGTGTTATCTCAAATTTGTCCATGGTTTTAAGAATATTGAAATTTTTTATTTGTTTTGTTTTTCATCAGGTTTAATGAAAACTGATAATGCAATTTTTTTCCTTCCTTTTCTTAGCGTTCCTATCAACTGGGTGTTGTTAAAGTTCAAAATTACAACTGGAATGGATAACTAGTAAGATAATCAACACCTTACATAATATTTTCAGCACCACGAATAGTTTGTATAACAAATATTTTTGATTTATCTTATACACCTGCTTCAAGTTTGAAATTATACAAATAGAAATCTCCAAATTGGAATGTTTTCAAATATTCAATAACATTATTTATAAAATTCTTTTTAAATATGGTAAATGTGTATACATTAATATATAATTGTTCAAAAATATATATTTATGGAATACTGAGTATATAAATAATGAAATTAAAAATAAAATAAAAATACAAATAAAGTAAAGTGCAGGAATTCCATATGCCTTTGCATTTTTTGTGTGTAAACAATTAATCTGTAGGATTATCAAAGAATTATTGCGATTCGTTAATATCATTTCATTATCTTCTGCATAGAAGTTCTACATAAAAGATAAATTAAAATATACAAATTCTTAGTCCCTATCTACCCTTATATTGTGATGCCTTTTTATGTATTTATTTTATTTTATTTTATTTTATTAGTATTATTTATATTGATAAAATTAGTATTATTTATATTGATATGGCTTTAATGTATTTAGTGTATTTATTTTGTTATTTATTTGTTAATTTATCTATTTTTCATTTTAAATTTGTAATTTTCGAACATTCCATTTATTACAATTTTGAAATACATTCGAATGTCAGTTCACCTGAAGATGGCCTATTCCATTAGGCTGAAAACGTTTGTGTTTAAATAAAGTATTCTTAGTGATAGAAGATGTTAATTGTTTCATTTAGTGTTTTTAAATGAAGCTGAGTTTGATATTTAATTATCATTTCATTAACATATAGGTGTTGTTGTTGTTGCTTTCAGGTTTTAGCCTTTAAGACTGTCACTGTGTTATTTTTTTTATAGCTTAATTTTCATATTTAATAAAGTTTATTTGGTTGAATCATTATAGTCACAAACCCAGATGCATTGTAAATAATCCCATCATGCTTAACGACATACGTAACCAAGTGAGTATGACATTTCTGCTCGCCTTTCGAGTTCGCTAGATGGGTCTAACTTGAGACTACAAATTTTGAGTCATAGTAACATGAGTGAGTTCGATGATGTCAATTCGAGTACTACATGTTAGGTAACTATAGGTAAGTAACCATTTGTAAAAATGATGAATGAAATACAGTGGTATATCTGTACTCTAACAATTCAGTATTTGAAAACAAATTCTGGAAAAAATTGCTCTGTCCTCGATTGAACAAATGCTAACTCTAGAACAAATTGTCAATTAATGACGTATTTTTATTTTGTCATACATAAAAAAATTTTATAGTAAAAGTTTTAAAAAAGATAGATGTTGCTGATATTTCTGATCAAGATCAACAAAAAAGCTTAGAAGAAGACCATACTTTGTAGAAAGAAAATACCCTGGTTTAAGTAAAATTAATATTAACATGGAATACAGCACTTTTAATTGTGATTGTTAGTTAATTATTGATTGCTTTAATAAACATTTCTTTTAGTAATGGGGGAAAAAAAAAAACAGTATACTTTTGCTAACTTTTGGAATGTAACCCCATGTTTTGTATTAGTATTTTTTGGAATGTAACTATTGTTTTATATGAGGGATTCCTATATTTGAGATAAACATGGAAAATTTATTGAATTTAGGATGGAAATGCAGGGGGGAAATAAATTTCAAGATAAGCATGTTTGAGATAGACAGGTTCAACTTTATATGAATGTAAATTTAATGAAATAAAATATTAAATCAGTTATTGATAAATATTGGATAATAAAACAAAAGTTTAAATTTCTGGATGGAATATTTTTTTATTTTGTGGAATTTAAAACATTTAAGCAGACAATTAAACATTTAATGGTGCTTTTAAGCACCATTAAATGTTTAATCATTTATTTGTTGATGTTTTTTACAGTGCCATGTAAAAAAGGAATAAGAATGGTTGTAATATTTAGATTATTTTACATTAAAATAGTTAAAAATATTTAAATTTATACTAGATATTATAAATTACAGGTAGCCCTCAGTTTACGCCGGCTCAATTTACGCAATTCATAATAACGCTGCGATGCAATTCACAGTAGCCCTCAGTTTATGCCAACACCAATTCACAATAATGTTGCTGCACAATTTGCTGTTTTGCCATGTAATTCCCTGATTTTCCATATGCTAGACTGATTTTTGTTTCAATGTTAATGTATTTACTGAGCCGCGACAGTGTACATTTGTTAAAACAAAGATTTTTATTGAATATATTTATTTTTTTCTGTTTAATATTATTGGGTATGTATACATTTACATTAAATTAATATTAAAATAAATAAAAATATAAAAATACTAAATGTTTACATACCCACATATACAAGAATAAAAAAGGTGTCGTGGTGGGGAAGAACAATTGGGAGCGAAGTGCAAATGTAAAATGGAGCATCATCACATCCATTCAACCATATTCAGAAATTCTTAATGAAAGAAAACAAAAATCTAAACAATTAAAGATGGTTACTTTTTCTGAAAAATGTAAGAGATTCAAAACTTTGAAATATCATTTGTTTTTCTTAAGATTTTTTAATAAAAACATTTCACTTTATTTTATTATAAAATACATTTAAAAAATTAAATTTATAATATATGTACTTTGTATTATATTGTATTAATAAACAAAATTATTTGCTTATTTTTCACTTATGTAGAACCTAACCCTATACTTCACTGTAAATATGGTTTCATATTACACCAATTTGATTTGTGCCAGCTTTTGTAGAAATGGAACTGTGGTGTAAATCGAGGGCTATCTGTATTTATATTTATAATCAGACTACTATAGAATCTTGTTTATAATGAAAAAGTTTCATTAAAATTTTAAATATAAATGATATGTTTAATGTTGAATACTATGTTTTGATTATTTTTGCTGTTGTCTATTACTTGTTAATGTAAATATTTATTGAGATATAAAGAGTTTTTGTATAAATAAATATATAATCTTTAAAATAATACAAAATATGGCTTTTGATATTGAAAATTAAACTGGTTTTTAACTTTTTTGGCTTAAAAAAAATTAAGAATACATTTTTAATGAAATAATTGGAAATTAAAATACTATTCTTTCATTAAAAGATGACTATTTTTATTATAACTTCAAAGCTGTGTATGAAAATATTTTATTGTTATTTTAGATCATCAGGATGAAAAAGCAGTGGAAAAAGAGGAAACAAAAGAAGCAGAAAATGTTGAAAATAATAACCATGTAGATTATAAATCAGATCAAGAATTTAAAGATCAAGAATTAATTGAATCAGATTTAGAAACTGATAATGAAAACAATCATATGAAAGATGTTACCGATACTGTAGAATATCTTTCCGAAAAATCTACAAAGATGAGTAATTCAGATTCAGATAATATTAACACTAGAGATTCAACAAAAATTACTATAAAACGAAGTTTATCTTCTGGAAATGAAGAATATGAATTGAAAAAAATGAAATTAGACAATGATTCTTGTAAGTTGAGAATATCTTAGTAATAATAAGTTAAATGAATAATAATTTATTTTGATCTATCCATTTTATAATTTTAAGTTTTGTTAGCTTTTATTTTCTGAAATTTATAGAATTTTATAAATTTTTAGAGTATGCTATAAATTTCAAAGTAAATTTTAGATAGAAAATATTTTTAATATGTCATTTATTAAAAATTCAATGAAAAGAATTACTCTATAAAGAATTTAAAAGTTGAGTTAATCTTTGAAAAAGTGAGGGAAATGATATCTCTTGAAATGTGTTTTAGTCTTTTTTTAAACATAAGATAGAAATTATATGAATTGTTAAGAGAATATGAAGATTTAAAGTTATTGAAGACTAGTGAGTATTTTGTACTAGTTACACTTCTTAAATACTTCTTTCACTAGTTACAAAAAGTATTTTGTAACTAGTGAAAAAATCACTAGTTACAAAATACTTTTTGATAAAATAAATTTATCAAAAAGGATATAGAGAGTAAACTGAATATATGTTTGTAATAAAATTTTGATGGAAACAATATTTAAATTTAAAAAAAACTAACAACAACATTAAGAAAAACTTTAAAATTCAAAATACTGTAATTAATTATAAAAGAGAATTTTCATTAAGCATTAGTTTTCTGTGTAGGCTATCTGTTTTGAATGGCCCTCCTTAACTTTTTCAATGTCTCTCAACCTTTTCATCAATCTTCTGTATGAGTTTATCAGTCACCACAGATAGTTCTTTTCTGCTCATTGTGGATATCTGTCAGCCCATTTTTGAAAATATAGCACCATTGTCTCACTCCACCATCACTTATGTTCTGTCCATAAACTTTGCACAGGACAATGGATTTCAATAACTTTACAGGTTTTTGATTAACAGAAATCTTATCACTCACAGCTGGCAAGATTCTGAATGGCAGCACACATTTTGAATTGCAGTTGTGGCAAGAAGCCAGAGCATGATCTGCACTGGATGCATACTGACTCACTCTACACTCTTGCCAAATATGGTGCTGTTATCTCCAATACTGCCAACACCACATGAAAATGGAAGTTGCTTTCTGGACAGTTCTCATATAAATTTGATCAATTTAAATAATCTCCTTTATACACACTGTAAAATAAACGACTTACTTCTGCTGTAAACCAAAACAGTGCTTATTTCCAAAATATTTTCACAAACGTTTTCGAACTTAGTTCTTCTTCAGGTGAATAAAACGGGTAGAATCGATGTTATTCGAAATCTGAACGCAATGTTCTAAGGAAACGCATGCAATCATCGTGTTAAACTTGCGCATGCTCTGTAGATAGAAGAATCGCTTTTGGCTTCTCAAGTGTCGTAAATAAGAGTTTGCCATGCTATCGATAAGGATAGTTCATCCTTATTGTTTATACACTTGTCTTCTCTTGCTGTTTTATACAAGGCAAAGATAATTTACACTACACAGCTAATACACCATTTGCGCTGGATGGAAGCGATATATATATATATAAAACAGCAAGAGAAGACAAGTGTATAAACAATAAGGATGAACTATCCTTATCGATAGCATGGCAAACTCTTATTTACGACACTTGAGAAGCCAAAAGCGATTCTTCTATCTACAGAGCATGCGCAAGTTTAACACGATGATTGCATGCGTTTCCTTAGAACATTGCGTTCAGATTTCGAATAACATCGATTCTACCCGTTTTATTCACCTGAAGAAGAACTAAGTTCGAAAACGTTTGTGAAAATATTTTGGAAACAAGCACTGTTTTGGTTTACAGCAGAAGTAAGTCGTTT